GTACCAGGGTCACTCTACACCACGTACCTCAGTACCAGGGTCACTCTACACCATGTACCTCAGTACCAGAGTCATGGTTCAGCATGAACCGTGGTTACCAGGGTCACAGTTTGGCAGGTACAGCACGTACCTCAGAACATGAGTGATGGTTCAGAAATACCTGGGTACCAGGGTCACAGTTTAAGAAGTGCTTCAGTACGAGGGTCGCGGTTTGACACGATCAGTGCGTACCAAAGTATGGAGGTATTCTGTACCTTACAATCACCTCACGTCTGTAATGAATTATTACGTGACTGGCCCGTGGTCTCTTCAGATCTAAGGCTGCTCTGGATGATAAAGATGGATTTGGATGTTGTCTGTGATGTTCCTTCAGTTGGTGGAGGGGAGGATCTGCGGCGGTACTGGTTGGACTACCTGAGACGGACTCACATTCTGGTGTACGTGGTGGACTCGTCCGACAGGAGCCGCCTCCCGTTGGCTAAGGCCGAGCTGCACCGCCTCCTGAGGGTGGAGCCTCAGCTGCCCGTGGTCGTCCTGGGAAACAAGCAGGTACAGTTCAGTTAAAGGGAAAGTTCAGATCTTTTGAAGCCAAAAACACGGTTCTCTGAAATCTGCCTCTGTTCCTTATTTGTTCTTCTTGAGCTACTTTCAGCTACGGTTTTGTTCATTTGTTGCTTTGAGCTAACTCAGCGTTCACAGTTCTCTGCTTGTTTTTTATCTTTCCCTTGACTGTAAAAATCAACGTTTCAACCCGTGGAACATTTTGCTTCAGGCTCGAGTTCTCAGTCCGGACTTCCATCAGTTTTGGTTCTGGGTGATCATGTACCGCGTCTTTAACTGGTTCGTGTTTAACGAGCAGAAAGAATCCTTTAGAAAAGCTGCTGCCAACATTCACTCACTAAGTGCTACAAACATTTAAACACAACACTCTTCCTATCCCTGTTTTACACGTTCAGCTCAAGCTTGAGTTCAGTTGGATGATTTTGAGCTCATGTTCTGACATCTGTTGTGCATTCCTTTGTTTCTGTTGAGGTTTCTGTTTTGTCTACAGCTGAGTCGACTATAGGATCCCTAAAAGATGATGAAACTTTAAGGTCTTCAGTAAACGCACCAGGACAGAAAACACGTCAACTAACCCCAGTTTGCAGCTTTTATACATCCAATGAAGGCGGGCTTATCTCTTGCCCCGCCCATAACTCCTTTGTATCATCCCAGCTTCAAGGTCAAAGGTTATACAAGGTCATTGTTGTCCGAGCCATTGCTAAAGATTGTATAATAGTTTGAAGATTGATGGATCGTTTGCAGTGTCTGACATGTCTCTGCTGAAATGTTTAATCTCCATCCATCCATTCATCCATCCATTCATTCATCATCCATTCATTCATCATCCATTCATCTATCCATCCATTCATCATCCATTCATCCATCCATCCATTCATCCATTCATCATCCATCCATCCATCCTTCCATTCATCATCCAT